GCTTGCTGTACGTGTTTGCTGTACGTGTTTACTGTACGTGCGTACTGTACGTGTGTACTGTACGTGTTGTGTTTACTGTACGTGTGTACTGTACGTGCGTACTGTACGTGCGTACTGTACGTGCTTGCTGTACGTGTGTACTGTACGTGCGTACTGTACGTTCTTACTGTACGTTCTTACTGTACGTTCTTACTGTACGTTCTTACTGTACGTGTTTACTGTACGTGTTTACTGTACGTGTGTACTGTACGTGTTTACTGTACGTGCGTACTGTACGTGTTTACTGTACGTGCTTGCTGTACGTGTGTACTGTACGTGTTGTGTGTACTGTACGTGTTTACTGTACGTGCGTACTGTACGTGTTTACTGTACGTGCGTACTGTACGTGTTTACTGTACGTGCGTACTGTACGTGTTTACTGTACGTGCGTACTGTACGTGTTTACTGTACGTGCGTACTGTACGTGTTTACTGTACGTGCGTACTGTACGTGTTTACTGTACGTGCGTACTGTACGTGTTTACTGTACGTGCGTACTGTACGTGTTTACTGTACGTGCGTACTGTACGTGTTTACTGTACGTGCGTACTGTACGTGTTTACTGTACGTGCGTACTGTACGTGTTTACTGTACGTGCGTACTGTACGTGTTTACTGTACGTGCGTACTGTACGTGTTTACTGTACGTGCGTACTGTACGTGTTTACTGTACGTGCGTACTGTACGTGTTTACTGTACGTGCGTACTGTACGTGTTTACTGTACGTGCGTACTGTACGTGTTTACTGTACGTGCGTACTGTACGTGTTTACTGTACGTGCGTACTGTACGTGTTTACTGTACGTGCGTACTGTACGTGTTTACTGTACGTGCGTACTGTACGTGTTTACTGTACGTGCGTACTGTACGTGTTTACTGTACGTGCGTACTGTACGTGTTTACTGTACGTGCGTACTGTACGTGTTTACTGTACGTGCGTACTGTACGTGTTTACTGTACGTGCGTACTGTACGTGTTTACTGTACGTGCGTACTGTACGTGTTTACTGTACGTGCGTACTGTACGTGTTTACTGTACGTGCGTACTGTACGTGTTTACTGTACGTGCGTACTGTACGTGTTTACTGTACGTGCGTACTGTACGTGTTTACTGTACGTGCGTACTGTACGTGTTTACTGTACGTGCGTACTGTACGTGTTTACTGTACGTGCGTACTGTACGTGTTTACTGTACGTGCGTACTGTACGTGTTTACTGTACGTGCGTACTGTACGTGTTTACTGTACGTGCGTACTGTACGTGTTTACTGTACGTGCGTACTGTACGTGTTTACTGTACGTGCGTACTGTACGTGTTTACTGTACGTGCGTACTGTACGTGTTTACTGTACGTGCGTACTGTACGTGTTTACTGTACGTGCGTACTGTACGTGTTTACTGTACGTGCGTACTGTACGTGTTTACTGTACGTGCGTACTGTACGTGTTTACTGTACGTGCGTACTGTACGTGTTTACTGTACGTGCGTACTGTACGTGTTTACTGTACGTGCGTACTGTACGTGTTTACTGTACGTGCGTACTGTACGTGTTTACTGTACGTGCGTACTGTACGTGTTTACTGTACGTGCGTACTGTACGTGTTTACTGTACGTGCGTACTGTACGTGTTTACTGTACGTGCGTACTGTACGTGTTTACTGTACGTGCGTACTGTACGTGTTTACTGTACGTGCGTACTGTACGTGTTTACTGTACGTGCGTACTGTACGTGTTTACTGTACGTGCGTACTGTACGTGTTTACTGTACGTGCGTACTGTACGTGTTTACTGTACGTGCGTACTGTACGTGTTTACTGTACGTGCGTACTGTACGTGTTTACTGTACGTGCGTACTGTACGTGTTTACTGTACGTGCGTACTGTACGTGTTTACTGTACGTGCGTACTGTACGTGTTTACTGTACGTGCGTACTGTACGTGTTTACTGTACGTGCGTACTGTACGTGTTTACTGTACGTGCGTACTGTACGTGTTTACTGTACGTGCGTACTGTACGTGTTTACTGTACGTGCGTACTGTACGTGTTTACTGTACGTGCGTACTGTACGTGTTTACTGTACGTGCGTACTGTACGTGTTTACTGTACGTGTGTACTGTACGTGTTGTGTTTACTGTACGTGTGTACTGTACGTGTTGTGTGTACTGTACGTGTGTACTGTACGTGTGTACTGTACGTGTTATGTTTACTGTACGGGTGTACTGTACGTGTTGTGTTTACTTTACGTGTTTACTGTACGTGTGTACTGTACGTGTTGTGTTTACTGTACGTTTGTACTGTACGTGTTTACTGTACATGTGTACTGTACGTGTTGTGTTTACTGTACGTGTGTACTGTACGTGTTGACTGTATGTGTGTACTGTACGTGTTGACTGTATGTGTGTACTGTACGTGTTGTGTTTACTGTACGGGTGTACTGTATGTGGTGTTTACTGTATGTGTGTACTGTACGTATGTACTGTACGTGTTGTGTTTACTGTACGTGTGTACTGTACATGATGTGTTTACTGTACGTGTGTACTGAATGTGTACTGTACGTGTTGTGTTTACTGTACGTGTGTACTGTACGTGTTGTGTTTACTGTACGTGTGTACTGTACGTGTGGTGTGTACTGTACGTGTGTACTGTACGTGTGTACTGTACGTGTTGTGTTTACTGTACGTGTGTACTGTACGTGTTGTGTGTACTGTACGTGTGTACTGTACGTGTGTACTGTACGTGTGTACATATTTACATGCTCGAGTAGCTTTACACTGAAACAGTCAGTAGTGCAGAAATGCAACACCAGAGGTCAGTACTGGACAGGGGTTTGGACAACCTTTCTGCTAAAATGTTTATGAATATTAAAATCAAAAGTAGTTTTAATACGTTGTTTTGGCCATAACTCACTTTTTAGTTGTTTCTAGTTTACTTTTTTTTTTTTTTAAGTCCTTATGTGTCAGGAATAGATTTATAAAACATAAATATTTAGTGTAATTTGCCAATTAATAAGAACTTATCCTTGCATCATGCATAATAATTATATAATAATGTGGACAATTAGGTGGTACAGTTAAAATGTGTCTTTGTAAATATAGCATTATTTTTACAGCCGTTCATGGTCAATCTTTTCTGATAGTGTTTGGCGCTTACAGAAACACACACAGGTGTTGAGAGAAAACTGACTTTAAAAAATCACTTTTAGTAAAAGTTTCAGCTCAACTGTATAATTTTAATAAGGATTTATCTTGAGGTCCTTTTTATATTGTAGTCAACATTTGAAGTGGATTTGATGAAAGGTTACTTGCATGTAATTAATGCATTGTTATTTTAATTCTAAGTATATGTAACGTGTACCAAAATAAATAGTCACCGAAGAATATTATAGAGACTTG